AAATATCCATAATCTATAAATAATTTACGCAGATACGAATTTCAAGTCACTGGTAAGCCTCTCCAGAAATATTCAAACAACTTGGCGAGTTTGCTTGACAGTTACAAAAAAGTGATAGTCTTCGGCACATGTCTTTTAAAAGAGTCTATTCAAATTCATCTAATGAGTAATTGATTATACAGAAAAGAGATGTAACTTCTCGCCTAGGTCTAAATCATTCACAAGAACATGACAGATATCAATTCTCAGAGGTTACTTATCAGAGGTTACGTTTGCTAACTACCCCTCTAACCTGAAGGTTTAAAAGGACTGGCACTTTTTCGGAAAAAATGCCTAGGTCTAAATCATTCACAAGAGCATGACAGATATCAATTCTCTTACTTATCAGAGGTTACGTTTGCTAACTACCCCTCTAACCTGAAGGTTTAAAATGACTGGCATTTTTTCAAGTGAACGATAATTCTGGTTCTTTTTAGGTCATATTTTACTCTTAAGATTAATTCTGATTGGCGAGACCAATAGTTTATTGTTTTGACATTAATTCAGATAAGTTTGCATGCGCTATTTCTGTTGGGATAATAAACTTGTCGTCACCATTAAATGTTCTAGACACTTTTCAGAGTTCTGAATTATCAGCGCTGGGTCAGTCCAAGTTTGGTATTAATCAAGTTATGCTTCTAATCCGGCTAAATAATACTACAAAAGAACACTCTCGTTATGCTGCACTGTTTGAAATTCACTCTGCAAATTAGAGTTTGATCGAGAATAACGGAAAGTTAAAATCATTGACATACTAATCCTCGCATCAAGCCGGAATAGTACGAAGTCAGTTGTTAAGTAGAGAGATAAAATTTCTTCGTCGGTTCATTCTTCACTCAAGTTGAAGGAGGGCTCCTTTTCTTTCAGTGAGGGTACTTGTCCTTTGGAAATCTTTCAGGATAACAATCTAGAATTCTCCGGATCAGATACTTGTTGTTTAGGTCTTGGACAGTCTTGCCGAGTCTGTACCACATTTCTAGTCCACTCTTCATTGCCTCTTCCATCTGATCTTCTCTTTTTTCTTCGTAAAATACAATGGCCTGCTCCGTCTTCACCTTTACTTTCCACGCATGGTCTTTTTCCAGTTCTCTCTCGGCGACACGCTCCGCTCTCTCAAACAACGCTTTCGCCTCCACGTAGTTACCATTATTGCTTTGGCGAGATCCAAAGTTCTTTAGAGTTAAAATGGTCTCCTTGTGGCCATCCATGCCCAGGTGTTCCATCATTTCCAGAGACTGTTTGTAATAGTCAACTGCAAATGAGCCGTTGTCTTCTTTGAATTTTAAGTCAGCAATGTCTTTTAAGCATTGAGCAGTCATTAAATGTTCACCAAGACACTCCTTGAGCAGCTTCAATGCTTCATTGAGTTTTTCTTCCGCTTCTTTAAAATTTTTGAGACGCTTGTCGTGTCTTCCAGCAAACAACAACGTTGCCGCTCGTTCAGGATGATTGCGGAGTTTTTGCTCACAGATTCGTAAAGCATCGTCATACACCTCTTTGGGTGCTGTAGGCGTACTTCGCTCGGAGAGATTACGAGCATAGGTGTTTTGCTCGGAGAGATAACGGGCATGGCTATTTAGATAAATGACTTCTGATAATGCGTACTTGTCAAATTCTGTTTTGTTCTCGGAATACAACTTGTGAGCCTCTTCCATAGAGTTCTTGTACTTTTCTCCCTCTCCTACTTTTCTCATTTCATGTCCAAGAAGACATAAAAGCTCGACTTTGTGCACAGGATTAATTTCTGTAGTATTGGCCGCGAGCAACTTTTGTAAGAATTGGGTATAAAATCTGGGAAGGAGACACATTTCAAGGTACAGGCATTTCTGGTGAAGATTGACAAAAAATGCTTCACAGGAATTCATGGCCACATAGCCCTCACTTCCCCTCCATTGAGCGAAGGCCTGAAGAAAGTACTCAAAATTGTGCCTGTCTTCATTAAAGGAATCGAGGGACGTCTTGCAAGTGTCTTTACCCCAGTAGCAATCGGCGTTTTCAGCGAGGCGAGACATGTAATGAGCACATGCCACTTTCTCCCCTTTAGCCAAAGACAGCGCCGATAGATCGACACTTTTCGCGAAGGCCTTAATCAGTGAATGCAACTGATATCTTTGGGAACTTGGCTGCTCCACGAGCGATCTGTTTTTCAAAGAACGAAGGATAGAAATGGGAAGGGTTTCAGAGCTTGCACAAGCTTCCACTATGACCTCAGCAGCATCTGAGTCAAAAGAGCCCGGAAACACAGACATAAGAACAAGAGCGCGTTGTTCATCTGACGTCAAGAGATCAAAGGAAGTCTTTATTGCCTTTTCCACTGACATCTGATCATCTTCCAGTACCTTGAGAGGTTGATCTTGGAGATTTTTGATTAGTTTTTCCTCCGAGTAATCCAGAAGCAATGATCCAACGACGCAGAGAGCCAAGGGTACACAGCCACAAAGTTCGACTATTTCGTCCATCTTGCAGAGCCTCTTTCGGACATTTTGGTCGTACACACGAGACACAAGGATACTCTTTGCTTCTTCAGTTGATAACGGGTTTAGTCTCACTTCGCTCGTCTGCATTTTAGGATCTTTAAATGTCTTCCTCGTGGTAATAACACACGTCACATTTTGCGCCGACAACATTCGCAAGGAAACCAAGAGGTTAAGGAATGATGTTCGAACGTTAGAGTCGAGGATGTCATCTGCATTATCAAGGACAAAAGTCACTTGAGTTTGGATCCGTTTGCTCCAGTCTTTGAGCCACTGAACTGGATTTTCGGGTACTTGCGTTTGGACTGCTCCGCATGAATGGATCATTTCTGTAGCGACCTCATTCAATATTTTTTTTGACGACAGACTGCAAAACAGCACAATCCTGCCATTCTCTGTTTTTACCAATTGATGAGCCACTGCGGTTGCCACAGTTGTCTTTCCAAATCCGGGTCCCCCAGTGATCAAAGCGACAGGGACTATTTCATTTTGAATGATCTCTTTGACTTTTTGTATCTCTTGGGACCGACCAAACATAAGTTCTTCTGGGAGCTTGTCTGGTAAACAACTGTAGATATCAGACATTACGTTGCTCGAATCTTGTCCTTCCATTAACTTCCATTGTTTGACCTGCTCTTCCAAATACTGCTGAGTTTCATGATCGATGGGGTTGGTTTTCAGGGTCTGAATTTTATTCCGTTGTATACTTATTTCAAGGGATTCTATGGCTGATGATATCTTGCTCCATTTAATCTCGAATTCGTTGTTTGGAATCCCTGTAGAAACAACGTGCAATAGCTCGTTTCTGAAGCATTTGATACGAGTGATGTTTGCCTCGGGACTACTATCATCGTCTGCAGGCATTATGTGCCAACCAGTTGAAGGCGCCGCAAGATGGCAAATTTCACGAAGCAAGAGATGTATAAGTGTAATGTCGAACTTTTCTGAGTCCGGTGGATCACCTGAGGTAGGAAACAACATTTCCCACTGCTTTTTGAAGATTACACCTTTGCGCCTCAGCTTTTGAAGCTTTGCCTTATTGTTGTTTAATACGACTTGTAATTTATCTGGTTGGTAGACAGAAAGCAATAAACTTCGCAGAACGTGAGTTCCTACATGAACCACCAGTCGTAACAGCTTCGTGCCATTCGTTTTTTCTTCTGATACATCGTACACAGAAGAGCCAGACGAGACAGGAGAAGAGGCTGCGCTAGCCATTATCTTTGCTGTTTTAACTCGAGGGAAGGTCTTGGTGGTAAAATATTCATAAAAATGTCGTTTCTAAAATAGAAGAATAGGCGTACCTCACCGATGCGCGCGTGCGTTTGGTGGACTAATTCGCATCCTTAGGGAAACGAACAAAATTTTCATCTTTTACATGACTTTACAGCCTGTTCAGCTCAAAACACTTCACAAGAGGCCAAAAAATAATTCTAAGAAAGTTTAATGATTCAGTTTCCGAGAAAGATATTTTTACTGTCGGTTGTATCATTGGTTAATTTGCATGTGCCTGTCATAGCATGATTGATGTGTTATGTAAGGCTAAATATTCGAGATGATTTTTTTGGGGGAACTTAATATCACGGTTCGTTTAGCATCCATTTTAGCATACATATTTCGAGTTTGTTATTGCAACCCCTTTTAATCTTTCCATCCATAGCTGTTGTTTCCTCGACTTCCTTGTTCCTTGTCATTTGTTTACTTTAAGGATGCCCCGCTCCTAATTGCTATTATTAATGGTTAGGATTTTATAGAAGCTCAACGACAGGACTTTAAAATTCCCGGAAACAGTTAATGACGAGTTTGTTCCAGTTTTCCGAGAAAGCCAACATTTTGCATACATGTGTCTCTGATTACAGTTTAGTCGGTTATGCACGGTTGGAGATTCAAGATTAATTTTTTTAAAATGTCCACTCTTTAGACGATCACTTCCCGTCTTTGATATAAAAGCAATTTTCGCTCCACTCGTAATTTTGTCTCTTTCAGTAAAAAAAAAATTAGGTAAAATATTCAGTTATCAAGTGCGGTATTTTCTGATATAAAGGGGTTCTGAGAGATCCGTGTTTCACTATCAGTAAACTCCTGCGGTTTTTCTCGGAAACTTGACGGAACAAAAACAATTGTCAATAAGGTATCGCACGGGCTAACACCACGCATGAGAAGACGTAAGGCTCGAAGGGCAAACCATCATCAAACGTCAACTGACAAACCAGGGATGATACCTCAAAGGAAAACTAATATAGTAATAACAAGTAAAGGATATGTAGAATTTCGATCGTCTTCAATATTAAAACCTTTGTTATCCAACTATCACGTCATAATAAACTGCTTGAGATTCAAAGAATCGTTTATCATCTCTTCTGCTTTTCTAGGAAAAGGTAAATAAATGCAGATAATCTGCTTTCCGGGAATCATAAAGGGCTTTCACTAAGAAGTTATGGCTCATTACTCTACCCAATTAAATGCACGATTAGCGTTCGCATCGTATTCAACAGTCAATAAAGTTCTTTAATTTAAAGCATTCGCGTCGACAAACATTCTCACGATGTGGCCGAAGTATTTCATGCAAAATAGTTTGTTAGACTGCTCGTACAAGGAGTATTGAACAAAGCCATTTCGGATTGTTACTCGATCATTCAGTTTAGATTTAGTTAGTAGAAGCTAGAAGTTATATGATATCTTGAAACTCGATCCAATTTAACACTCTTTCGTTTAAGAATGTTAAACGTATTTAGTGTAGGATATTTATCTTAATTTTTATATTGATGAGATGGAAAATTCAGTAGTTAGACGGAAATGAACAGGTATTTGACCCAAGTAGAAGCGAGTCACAAATCTCACATCATGGAAATTTAATCTAATAGACTATCATTGCAGGAACGTCACGGTCATTACTATGTCGGTGGACGACCTCATCAGTTGCATAAACGGAAACGTTTGAAACAAAATCTCAGCCTCTCTATCTAGAGGCTATTACAGACCTTGAATAAGGCATTTTCTCATTTATTAACGCTTGTATAGACTCTTAAAACGAATTCGGTCTAATACTCAGAGTTCGCCGTTTATACTCCGGCGACTGCAGTTAAACTTCCGTTGCAGTTCATGTATTTAGACGAAAACCATGTCAGGGTTCTATTAACTGTGGTCAGAGATCTCTATCTGTCAACATCATCAACGCAAGTACGGTCTCATAAGAATTCAGTTGAGCTCTGGATGACGGTCAAGGAATTCTTTGATCTCTTTTTTGTTTGATAGCTGATTTAATGCTTGGTTTAGTCGTTCATTCATTTCAAGTGCTTTACTCATAATTTCTTTCGCTTCTTTTACATTTCCAATGCATTCATGTAGAAGAGCCAACTGAGTTTCAATCATAACCTTCCATTTGTGATCCTCTTCTAATTCAGTCTCAGCGACTTCTTTTGCTTTCGTAAGGATATTGATGGCTTCTTTATAGTTGTCTTTCTTTTGGTGACAAAGTGCGTACTTTCTTAGGGTTAAAATACTCTCCTTGTGATCACCCACACCAAGATTCTCCATCATAGTCAGTGCAGCTTCGTAATGTTCAAAGCATTTTTCAATATCAGCGCGATTTTCGTCAGGGAAGTAACATCTAAAATAAAAGTCTGCAATGTATTTATGACATTGAGCAGTCATGAAATGATTCCCGAGGCAATCTTGGAAATGTTCCATTGCTTCCTGAAGTAGATTAATACTTTTCTGATGCCATCCATAGAATAGTAAGGTCGCCGCAGTGTCGGGATGTTTACCTAACTTTTTCCGGCACAAATTCAAGGCTATCCCGTAAACGTCACTGATGGATTGCGAGGTCCATTCACGAGGTACGTGCTGAGGCTTTGTTCGAAGCAAGCGCGCGTAACTGTTGAAGAAAAGGACTTGTGATAAACCGCATTCTTTGAAAGCTGTGCAAGTCCTGATATAAACTTCCTTAGCTCGTTCCATAAGATTGTTGTACTGTTCTTGGTTGCCTACCTTCCTCTTTTCATGCCCAAGAAGACATAAAAGTTCAACAATGTGTAGTGGGACAAATTCGGTTTCAAAGTACTTCAAAAGATTTTCGAGGAAGGCAACCTAAAAACTTGGTAAAAGACACATCTCTAAATACATACACTTTTGTGGAAAATTTTCGAGAAACACATTCGTAGGTATTTGAGGGGATTCTGTAACTGTATCAAGTTTATCTAAAGTGTCAACGTAAACTTGCAAAAAGTACTCGAAGTTATGTCTGTCTTCATTGAAGTTCAGAACAGATTCTTTGCATTTGTCTTTGCTCCAGTATATGTCGGCGTTTTCAGCGAGACGAGAAATAAAGTAGTTACATACCAGTTGTTCTGCATGGAGAATTGTTTCGGAATAGTTTTCTTGACCAACTCTCTTTACAAAGGCATGGATAAGGGGATGAATTTGATATCGATTTGAAGTTGGTTGTTCTAAAAGAGACCTGTTTCTTAGTGAGCGGATTTTCACAATTGGATTAGCATCAGTGTCCATTCCTGTTGTCATTACAGCCTCAGCTGCATCAAAATCAAAAGAACCTCGAAAGACAGACATGATTGACAGCGCCTTTTGTTCGGTAGGATTCAGTAGATCAAATGAAGTCTTGATGGCGTTTTCGACCGAAAGTTCATTATCTTGAAGAACATCCAAAGGTTTCGTTTCAAGACTTTCAATCAATTTCGCCTCTTTGAATTCTGAGAGCAACGAGCCAACGATACAAAGCGCCAAAGGGATGCGGCCACACAATTTAACCATTTTCGTCGTCTGGGAAAGCTTTTGTTCCAGAGGGTCAGTCCTAGAAAGAAGAACCTTTTCTGCCGCATCGAAAGACAAACTGGTCAATCTGATGTTTTCTGTCTTGAAACCACAACTCGATGTATTAACTGTCTTTCTAGAGGTATTAATAAAGGTTAGATTTTTCTTTGAGTAGTTCCTCAAGTCTCGCAACATGTTTACAAACTCTGGTCCAACTTTAGATTCGAGAACTTGATCTGCATTGTCTAGAATCAGTGTTACTTTGTCAAATTGCTGTTTGCTCCAATTAAGAAGCCAAAGTTTAGGATTTTCAGGCGGCTGAGCGTGGCTGTTGCTACAGGTAAGGAACATTGTGGTTGCTACGTCCTTGAGGGATGTTTGGAACGTAAGTGAGCAATAGAACACACTCCTGCAGTATTCTGGCTTAGCAAGCTCGTGGGCCACTTTATTGGCCACAGCGGTCTTCCCGAACCCCGGTCCACCAGTTAAAGACAAAATAGAAACTGTTCCGATTTGAACAGCCTCCGCGGCTCGTTTGATTTCTTCTGAACGACCAAATACATGGTGAACCTCATCTGGAAGACAATTGGGAAGCTCACTAGGAACACGTTGCGCGGAAATATGTTGTTGATCGCTTGAAATGTGTAGTTTTAGTTGTTTAAGTTCCTGCTCTATGATCTTCATTCTCGGTTCAAATTCAAGCTTCCATTTCTCTACTTCTTCATCGATTCGTCGCTGCGTACCATGATCGATGTCTTGGGTTTTAAGGCAGTCTATTTCCAGCTGATGGAGCCCTAAGGCCACTAAAGAATGAGAAATTGTGTTCCATTTGCCTTCAAACTCGTCATTAGGAACACCGGTGGAAATGCTATGACACAGGCTGTTTCGGAAGCATTTAATCCGGACGATCTCTGCTTCCTGACTGTGATCCGTGTCTGCGGGCATTTCGTTCCAACCTGTGGCAGGTTCAATCAAAGCGGGACAGATTTTTCGAAGCAGTAAATGTAGAAGAGTGATATCAAATGCGTTAGAGTCCGGTGGGTCGCCTGATGGAGGAAAAAGCTTTTCCCACTGGTTATCATTTAATATACGTCTCCTCTGTAAGTTGACGAGGGTCGCCATGTTGTTGTTTAGCATAATTTGTAATGTTGAAGGCGGATGTATGAAAGATTCTAAGACCTTCCTAAGCGCTTGAGTTCCCCCATCAATAAGCAGTCGCACTAACTTCGTACCGTTAGTTTTTTCCTCCGATGGCTCACAGATGGACGCCATTTCCTAACACTGTTGAGGAAAACAACGCGCCTAACTGTTGAAAACTTCCATGAAAGCAAACAGACACATCTAGGAATTCGAGGCATCTTAACTTTAAAGATAACATCAGAGCAGCATGGCTTTGTTTTCAGAACCAATGAGATGTATGCGGATAATAATATAAACTCATTGTTGACACGATAACTGTGGAAAGCAGATATCACGCAATCACTCCCTTTTGTCAGAGGGTGGGGAGGGGGAGGCGAGAGAAAAGGTAAACAGATTCTTGACTTCTGAAATACATCGTTGGAAATGACAAAAAAGTATTGAAAACGGCAAGTGTTTTAGACGAAGGTGTAACGGAAGTGTGATAAACGACATTTCCCCGGTTCTCTTAGAGTCAATCAACCTAGACTTAGACGACTTGTTCGCTATTAAACCCTGTCCATTCGTTTACTGTCGCCTTTTTAATGGTGCAGATGTGTGACTGGAGTGATTGAAAGGAAATCTTTCTTCATATCTTGACTAGATGCAACATGTGCATTGGAGTGTATAGCTCCATGAACGCTTGACTGGGTTTCGATAATGCCGTTATGAAACAAACCAAAGGAAAAAGCAAACTGAATTTAAAATAAAACGGTAATTGTCCTTTGTATGGTAGCGGTGACAGATTCATAAAATAATGACAAGCAATCGTCCCGGATTTTCTCGGAAACTTGGAGAAAATATAATCAAATATGTGGATGACCAAAGATTCATAGAATGCAAATTGACCTCCTTCTCGGAATCATTGCTAAATACACTAGATATGCGATGTAATCCATTTATTCTACGCATGTGAGGGACAAGTCCCATGTCACAGTTTTATTGGAATCTCGAGTTTTAGCTCGAGGTGCACTCAGAGCTAAAATCTGATGCTGAGGTATTTTTCCCAGTCGAAATCTAAAAGCTTCTTGAATTTTGAAAAATTCTCAAAGAGCCGAGCGTCCTCACAGAAGTAAAAAGATGATAGATAACATGACATCTATTCACTCTGGATATTAAAATTGGATATACATGTTGTCCGGGAGAAAATGATCTTAAGGACTCTTGGAAGCCAAGGAATTTCCACTAAATGTTGCAAATTAGCAAATAATTATGCAAGATCATCCAGCAGGATATCGTCTCTCCAAGGACGCATGCGCGGATGATTTCAGGTCACGCTTTAGCATTGGGTGTACCTTTTTATGCCATGCATGATTATCTGTGAAAATAGGAAAAAATAACCAAGGTTCGCGAT